GGTGGCGGGCGCCTGTAGTCCCAGCTACTCGGGAGGCTGAGGCAGGAGAATGGCGTGAACCCGGGAGGCGGAGCTTGCAGTGAGCCGAGATCCGGCCCCTGCACTCCAGCCTGGGCGACAGAGCGAGACTCCGTCTCAAAAAAAAAAAAATACAAAAAAAAATACAAAAAATTATCTGGGCGTGGTGGCATGTGCCTCTAGTCCCAGCTACTCGGGAGGCTAAGGCATGAGAATTGCTTGAACCTGGGAGGCAGAGGTTGCAGTGAGCCACAGTCACTGCACTCCAGCCTGGGCAACAGAATGAGGAATAAGAAAGAGGAGGAGGAGGAGGAGGAAAAAGAAGGAAGAGGAGGAGGAGGAAAGGGGGAAGGAGGAGGGGAAGGGGGAGGGGGAGGACGAGGAGGAAGAAATTGCTTAGTTCCTAAAATACCATGATGTTGCCCTCAGAAAGACTTTCGTAAAGGCCAAACACATTGACACCAATTTCTGTGTTCCAGCAACTGCAACTGAACTCCTCTGTTCTGATAAATTATATTACCCCAGCTTCCTCATTTTATATTGCTGACCATGTATCTTCTCCTGAAGACCAAATATAAAGAAATACACAAGGCGGTAGTAGTAATTTTTAATGGAATTTGAGGAAAGGTAGAATCTCTTTTAATATTGTACGGTTTTTATTGCTAATTTGACCCTAAAATAACACTTTAAAATTGCGATGTTTCCAGATTTGAGGTCTCTGGGCATCTAGCAGTTACTAGCAGTCTCCAAATTGGTACATCTATATGTCTATCTATAGATCATGGCACAGATACTGCCTGCTTTATACAAAGTACTGTGCCAGGAGTTCCTACTGTCACAGGCTTTGCTCTTTAATGGGGAAATGTCACAAATGCTACACTAGAATTCTCAGCAGCTCTGACCTACTTGACTGCCTCCTCCTTCTCTTGTCTCCTGTGCCTTCTAAGATGTTGGTCTCTGCCAGTTCTCCTGGCTGTTCTCTGGACACCTCTTTTTACTTTCCTTTTCTGGCTCCCCTTTGATCAATTCATTTATATTAGTGCTCTGTAGGGTCTGTGCTGGTGTCTCTTATCTTCTCACTTTCCAGCTGTACTTGGTGGGTATATGCCCTTTATGTCCGTAGCCTTGGCACCTATTTATTCCCAGCTCAGTCTCTAGCCTCCAGCTCTCTCATTAACTCTAGACAGAGATTTCCAACTGCCAGTGGGGCTTGTCCACTTGAATGTTGTGCGGGCATCTTAAACACAGCATGTCGTTATCCTGTCTTTATCTTTCCTCCTGTTCTTCTATACCCTACTGTGGTTAATGACACCTTTGTTTCCTCAGCTGCATGGGCTACTGGCTTCTAAGTCATTCTTTTATTTATTTATTTGAGACAGGGTCTCACTCTGCCACCCAGGCTGGAGTGCAGTGGCTCAATCATTGTGCACCACAGCATCAACCTCCTGGGCTCAGGTGATCCTCCCACCTCAGCCTCCTGTGTATCTGGGACTCCAGGCATGTGCCACCAAGCCTGGCTAATCTTTTGCTTTTTTTTTTTTTTTTGTAGAAATGAGGTTTCAGCCATGTTTCCCAGGTTGGCCTTGATTCCTGGGATCAAAGGACCCGCCCACCTCAGCCTCCGAAAGTGTTGGGATTACAGGCGTGAGCTGCCACACCCAGCCCCAAGTCATTCTTAATGCCTTCTTTCCCTACATCATCTTCCTTCCAACCAATAACCAAGCCTTGTTGATTTAATCTCTTAGTTCTTCCTTGAACCCATTCTGTTCCCTCTTTTTCAATCATCAAGATGTTACCACTTTTCACCTAGATTAGTGAAATAGCCTCCCTGTTGATTTTTTCTTGGCCTCCAGTCCTTCCCCACTACTACTCTTCCTTCAGACTGCTGCCAGAACGTCTTTCTAAAGCCCAGATTTGATCTTGCCAATCATTTACCTAAAATTCTTCAACAAATCCTTTTGTCAACACAGTTCAAAGCCCATAGCAAGATCTGTGAAGCTTTATGTGACTTACCTTTTAGCCCACTTACGTTTTCAGCCTCCTCTGCTGACACTCTCCCTACATACCCAAAGATCCCCATATACCAAACCACTCAGCATTTCCTCACACACCATTCTGGCTCCTCTTTCAGGGGCTTTCCAGCTACTTTGGAAATTCAGCCTAGGAAACTCCTGTTATTGTCAAGATCCACTCAAATATCACTTCCTTTGGGAAGACTTCACCTCCAAGCACTCAGGGCGTATTTCTATTATAGCACCTCTCATGTTAGACTATATATATTTTTTCTTTTAGAGACAAGGTCTTATTGTGTCACTCAGGCTAGAATGCAATGGCACAATCATAGAGTACCACAATTTCCAACTCCTGTCCTCAAGTAATCCTCCCACCTCGACCTCCCAAAGTGTAGAAGCCACTGTGCTCAGGCTATAATTATGTTTTATATGCCTCCTACCCTCCTAGACTGAGCTACAGAAACCATGTCTCACTCTATTTTGTATACTGGCCCTTGGTACAATACTTAGCACATATCAAGCCTTGCATCAATGTTCAATGAGTAACCAAATAATTGAATGAATAAATAACCCACTGTGATACAAGTTAGAATAAGAGCAGTAGGCAAGTTGCACATAAACTGCTGCTGTAGGGCATTCAGAGGACTGGGTCACATTTCTTTCAGCAACCAAACAAGACTTCATATAATTGATTGCCATCTCTCCATTTACCCCTATATCTTTGTTTATGACTTAACACAAAGTCGGTTCATTCCATCCCAGATATAGCCCACTTCTTCTCCAGCCTCCACCCAAATACTGAAACTAGTTTTCTCTTTTCTGTCTCTTGTATAATAGATCTTTAGTTCATTTTAGCTTTGCATATAACTTTTATAATAATTTACCTATTTATAAAGGGAGGTCCCTTCTTTATTCTAAGAAGGATTTTTTTTTTTTTTTTTTTGAGATGGAGTCTCACTCAGTCGCCCAGGCTGGAGTGCAGTGGCGCCATCTCGGCTCACTGCAAGCTCCACCTCCCAGGTTCATGCCATTCTCCTGCTTCAGCCTCCCAAGTAGCTGGGACTATAGGCGCACGCCACCACGCCCGGCTAATTTTTTGCATTTTTAGTAGAGACAGGGTTTCACCCTGTTAGCCAGGATGGTCTCGATCTCCTGACCTCGTGATCCGACTGCCTCGGCCTCCCAAAGTGCTAGGATTACAGGCTTGAGCCACCGCGCCCGGCCTCTAAGAAGGATTTAAGTGCCTGCCTCATAACTGATTGTCTGTTTTTATTATAGCTTCTTGTATAGAAGATACCCCAAAAAATGTTTGCTGAATGAAGAAATAAAGGATTGCTGAGGCACCACTGGCACTTCAACTTGCTTAGCAAGTACTCATGCCTCTTAAGAACTGGCCAAGGGCCGGGTGTGGTGGCTCACGCCTGTAATTCCAGCATTTGGGGATGCCAAGGTGGGCAGATCACAAGGTCAGGAGTTCAAGACCAGCATGGCCAACATGGTGAAACTCCATCTCTACTAAAAATACAAAAACTTAGCCAGGCGTGGTGGCGTGTGTCTGTAATCCCAGCTACTCAGGAGGCTGAGGCACAAGAATCGCTTGAACCCAGGAGGAGGAGGTTGCAGTGAGCCGAGATCATGCCATTGGACTCCAGCCTGGGCAGCAGGGCAAGACTCTGTCTCGAAAAAAAAAAAAAAAAAAGAACTGGCCGAGGTCTTAGCTGGAGCACTCTCTCTACCCTGCATGTTTGACGGCATTTCTGTCCATTTTCAATCTATTTTGGTTATATGTTTTTCATACAGGTCTGTGGAACTCAGAACACTGAAGGCCTGTGCATCTTCATGGCTCACAGCTCATGCTGTGTTGACTTGTCCCGCTGTGGTTAATGTTTAGTCCCTAAACCATCAGCTGAATGTCCTTAAATCTGAAAGAATAATGAACACACGCCAACAGACAGCTTAGGTTTATTTGGTGACTTGCACCAAGTACTTTGTGAATATCATCTCAGTCATCCTTTTAGCATCTCTCTCAGGCACATACTATCCTCTGTGGTGGCTCATGCCTGTAATCCCAGCCCTTTGGGAGGCCGAGGCGGGCAGATCACTTGAGGCCAGGAGTTCGAGACCAGCCTGGCCAACATGGTGAAACCCCATCTCTACCAAAAATACAAAAATTAGCCAGGTATGGTGGCATGCACCTGTAATCCCAGCTACTCGGGAGGCTGAGGCAGGAGAATCATTTGAACCCAGGAGGCAGAGGTGGCAGTGAGCCGAGATTGCACTATTGCCCTTTAGCCTGGGTGACAGAGTGAGACTCCATCTCAAACGAATAAATATGTAAGTAAGGGAAAAGCGATCACACAGCAGAATACAACCTAAGGGTAACTACTGAAGGGACAGATCAAGGAGCAAAGTCTACCATGTATCAACCTCTACAATGTCCCCAAGGGTCAGCTGTGTATAGGGACCCACACAGAATTTGGAATCCAAATACATCTCTGGATCCCCAGGCCTGTGTTTCACTCTCCAGGTAGTAGTGAGATGTCTCCATTTTCTGCAGGCTGAATGATTCCCTCAGAGCAGAAGTATAAGCTTATTTATTGTTTTTCCTTCTATCATAAACAGTTATCGGTTGTGGCCCTTTCTGCCTTCCAAATAGGTGCCCAAATTTTTGGAATTGGAAAGAGCCCAAGTCTCCCATATCAGGGGGTGGGCCCCACTGGGTGTGAGCCAATCAGCGTCTTCTGTCCTGTGAGCTCCTGATTTACGCTGGTCTATAACCTGAGATGGCCTTCTCAGGATGGACCCCCAGGGACTGCTGGAACTTGGACTCTTGTCAGCCTGGTAAATGGTATGTCTTAGATCTGCTGCAGCCGTCGTGGAAAGCTTGAAGCTGCCAGGAGAGAGGGGTTCCAACATGTGGTGGCTAAAGAATGAATCCAACTCGGAGGAAGCAGAGCCAAGAAATGGATCCATGCCGTTTGAATCTTGGATCAAATTGTGCCTGGATCTCCAGTGAGACAATAAATTCCTGTATTACTCAAGCCTATTTGAGGTTGTTTTCTTTCACTTGAAACATTAAACTTTTAAATTGATACACCCTAGTTAAATTATAAACTGTGTGACAGCAGAGAGTGTGTCTCCCTCTCTTTTTTCTTTCTTTTTTTTTTTTTTTTTTTTGTTGCTTTGAAACAGAGTTTCGTTACTGTCGCCCAGGCTGGAGTGCAGTGGTGTGATCTTGGCTCACTGCAACCTCCACCTCCTGGGTTCAAGTGATTCTTGTTCCTCCGCTTCCCGAGTAGCTGGGACCACAGGTATCTGCCACCCCGCCCAGCTGATATTTTGTATTTTTGGTAGAGATGGGGTTTCACTATGTTGGCCAGGCTGGTCTCAAACTCCTGACCTCAAGTGACCAACCAGCTCGGCCTCCCAAAGTGCTGGGATTACAGGCGTGAGCCACCGCGCCCGGCCCAAGACTGTGTTTCTCTTGATTACCTATGTGTTCCCTGGCACATAGTAAGGATTCAATAAATAACTTTTGAATGGATGCATTTTAGCTGCAAGGAACACCCATGAACTCTCTTTACTCAGCTGACAGCTAAGGAATCTGGTGTTCTGTAAGAAAGTGACGATGTGGATCTAGAAGTCGGACCTTACCCCAACACTGGCATTTTCCTAATCACAGGAAATCTTCCAGTAAATACGTTGAGGTCTTTGAGGAGACCCCAAAATAGCAGTCTGCTCCCTTCTCTGTGAATTTTGAATTGAATCAGAAGATAGCAGCAAGCTAGACGAGGACCAAAAATAACCTTTTCTACTGATAAAGCTGATATTAGAGAACGTGGCTTATATCATCAGACAAACGAGCTTCCCGATACTCAACTTCAGAATTAGGCAGACTTGGCGGCTTGGTGACGGGCAGCTGAGCTGGAACGGGCCTCCTCTTCCCACCCCGCGGGAGCGAAGCTTGCTCCCAAGAAGAAGAGAAGAGAGGATGATATAAGGCACAGTTCCTCCTTCCAAACTCACCAGTCATATTAAACCACTCCTCCTTCTCAGGGAAGAGGGGGCAGGCGGAGAGAAGCCAGGAGTGTTTGGACTCCTTTCAGAAGAAAGAAAACATCAGGAGTGGGAAGACCCAGTCTCCCTCCCTCACACACACCACGTGTGATTTGGTCAGGTCAATTGATTCTACTTTGTTTTCAATCAAAATGGGCGATATTTCCAAGTGGTGGGATATGTTTGCTGTCTAAAATATAGAATAGCTCCATAGAATAACTCACACATCACAGAATCAAGCTCCCCAAGGAGTTGGAGATCTTCATTTGAAATTATGCAAAATTCAAAAGAAGAAACAAGAGCTCACGACGAAATTACACAATCAGGGGCACTAGGTGGCAATAAGCCTTTTGCTCTCTCACCATGCCCATCAAAGGCATTTCAAGAGCACTGAAAGCTCACACACTTCCCACGCCGGCTGTCAGTTTCTTTCTGGATGATCTCAGAGCCACACAGAGCATTCTTAGTCACTGGGAGAACAGAACCAAAGCTTAACTCCTTGGTGGCACCAGGGGAAGTGGCACTTCGAGTTGGATTCCAGGAAATCCAGGGAAACACTTGACATAGGAAGTCTGTGACCACGTTCCCAGTTTCCCCAGTGTCAAGGCTGGGGCCATGAGCATTGTTCAAAACACTCAGGCCTGCATTGTGTCTGTCTACCACATGCTTTTGGTTTTACTCACCAGGGCACTTTTTCCTGTTTCTGTTTTTTGGTTTTGCTTTTTAAGGTAAACATGTACCATCTAGGCTTCAAGAAACGTCCTTGAATAACCATCGTTTGTCGATTTGAAGGTTGGTGCACAAACTACCAGCTGAATTGGACAATCATAACCCCCCAAATGAGGCAAAAGTACATTTAACATTCAACACGGGTTTTCCTAAAAGTGGTATTGGCTGTTTAATGTGACTGAGCCTGGTGAGAACCAGGATGCCCTGAACTCAACAGGATCCCCTCAACTCAGCAGGATCCCCTCTGTTCTTGCTGCCAAGACAAAGTTTTGCTCTAATCTTAAGTAGCTTGCTGGTGGGCTATTTGCTGGAGGTCACTAAGTAGACTTTGCTGGCCAGCCCTGGGAGAGAACCCAGGCTGACAAAGGAAACCTCAAACACAGCAAGATTGAGACAATATGTTCCCATCCTCTCTTCTCAAATGTAAAGCTATTTTCTCATCTATTACCTGCCCCTATTTTTACCATGAGAAGCTCTCCAATGCCACTTTAGCTATCGATAATTGGCAGTCAGTTTTGCAATTAACAGCTGCCCAGAATCAATTCCAAGGATGCGCAACTGAAATCGCTTTTAAAAAGGCAGAGTTGGGGATTGCTCCGCTGCCTACCTGACCTCCAATCCTTTTTCTTACCCATACAAACCATCTGCTGGAAGAATCTGAAACTTGAACCACGTACCTAAATGCCCAGTTCTGGGTATGGGGTAGATATTTGAGAAATATTTCGATTGATTGATGTGTACCCGGGGGAAGGGTACGGGCAGCTCCACAAGGAGTTGCTGTGTAATTCACAGTGAAGAGTGGCTCTTCTGCTGACTCAAAACTCCTTTCTTATTTCAGACCAAAGACTCCAGGGACAGGTTTGGGTAAGAAACCTGGCCTCAGGGAAAAGCATATGAAGCCTGTTCATTCCCCAGAAGAGAAGCAATAGAGAGAATTGCTCACCGTGATGGGCGCATCTCAGCTTTGCAAGTTTATCGTCCTCATGAACCGCACCAGCAAGGGGCCTTCTATGAGGCTGAACTTCCCACTCACCCGTGCCTGTTAGAGACATGACCCAAGGCTTTGGGAGCTTTCTCGCAGCTTCTGCTTAAATGGGGGCAAGGAGGGAGCCAGTCCTTTCACCATGACCTCTAAATGACGCCAGTGCTGAAGGCTGTGGGGCCTTCGATCACTCGAAAACTAGGAGACTTAAATATTTTTAGAGACATGCTGTCATCTGGGCAGCCTTAAGTGGATGTTTTCTCTGTCTTTCTTCAGAACTAGTGGGTTTGCAAGAAACCTTCCCAGGGCAGCAGTCTTAGAGGAAGTGCCTGCTAATACAAGAAGGAGGGCAAGGGGGACAGCCAGCTGGAGCCTGGAGCTGCTCAGGCTCTTGGAACCTTCGGCGGGCGCAGGCAGGGATTTACGGACCTGCCTTTTCCCTCATCATTCCGCAGGAAGCTTCTTTAAATGAGCCTCAGCCCAGCAGCTCTCATGGGGCCTGGTGTTTATAGTGGAGACCAAGATAACAGAACCGTGGAGGTGCCAGCCCTGGATACCGACCCC